GAGCTGGGCTCTGCTACACTGCAGCAGCTGCTGCCTCCGGCAGACATCAGCCAGGGCTCAGGTGCTGCTGTGGGGGGCAGGGGGCTGTGGACCAAGATCACTAGCCCTGTAACTCTGGCATCTGGGATCCCCCTTCAGCAGGGCTGGGGGGAGTGTGGGGAGGGCAGGGGCACCAGCAGGGCTCAGGGGCTGTGGCTTGGGAAGAGAGGGCCCTGGAACCTGGTGAGGTAAGGGGGCAGGGAAAGCTCTGATTTTCCTTGATAAAAGAACCACAAATCAATTACCAAAATGTATAGATACTGGGAATTTATTTTACTATAGTGATTGAGGTGTTGGTAGGCTTCCAAACTGTGAAAACCAGGATCCCAAGTCATCTGCCACCACTGAGAACTTACTTTTCCTGCTATTCGCCCTCCTCTTGCCTACACCCCCCTGGCACCTGCCCTGGACCTGGCTCCCCTGCTGTCTCCTGCCCCAGCCTCCCCCCACCACCACCTCTGCTCCCACATGCCCTCCCCTCCCCTCCCCTCCCCTGCCACTTAACTTCATTGTGGCTTGGTCCAAAACCTGCACACCTAACATCAACTGTCCCTTGCCCTTTAGAGCAGCTCGTGGGTGGCACTGGCCCTGGTTTATCAGGGTGGTTTTGGTGGAACTTCTTCAGCAGGTTAGGGGCATGGATGTATTCTGCAGATTCCCGTGTGCAGTCCTCAGGGTAATATCCCTCCCATTTAACAAGGTAAGTTGCCCCCACATCCACTGTGAAATCTTAGTTTCAAAAGGTAAGGTATTTTCTTGTCCCTCATCTGTCACAGGGGGTGGTAGAAATTGGGTCTAGTGAAGTCCTTCCCACACGCTAAATCAGGAGCAGGCAAAATACGGCCCATGGGCCAGATTTAGCCCACCAGACCATTCTATCCAGCCTGCAGGGCCCCCCAAAAAATTAGAAAATTAATATTTATTTTCTTCTGACTGCCTGTCAAAGCTGACAGGAGTCAGGGGCAGTAGGACCCAGGGGGAGCCCTCAGCAGAACTGAGCAGCCCAGCCCAGCCCTGCCCCATCCCCAGACATTTCACTTTTTTCCTGCACATGCCCTGCTCCAGCACCATGTGGCTCCCGGCTGCATCTCTGGACCAGGGAGAAATGGGCCATGCTCGTACGTGTGTGCGCATGTGCACACATGCACACATGCAGGGACAGAGTGTATGTGTGTGTGTAGGCAGGGGCAGTGTGTATGTGTGTGTGTGTGTGTGTGTGTGTAGAAAGGGGCAGTGTGTGTGTGTGTGTGTGTGTGTGTGTGTAG